TCGTGAAAAATGAAAAAAGCACTGATCCCAACCTTTTGTCTGTTCGGCAAGAAACTGACATCAAATGCGTGATCAAGCTGAAATCAAATCATTCCGAGAAGGTTGTTGCAGCGATGTTCACTCTTCTGTTGACTACCAATGCAACAGTGGACTTTCACTTAAGGGTTCCGTGCCGTGGCGACAGGAAACCCATATGAACTGGCAGTGTTGGCTAGATGTCATGTGTTCTGGCTGGCAGATCATTTCCAGCGGATCAGAAATCTCCGTGTGTTTATTCCCTGCAATCCCAGAAAGAGAATGTGCCGTTGACCTGACTTGGACAAATTCACTGTCTTTGCTTCACGAATCACCATAAGCTCCACTATCTTACAGAAATAGTCGGGACATGTGTGACATCGCAACCATGACCGTGCTCAATCAAAATACCTGATCTGACTTGAGCCCACCAAGAAACCAATGAAATACGAACCTGGAAGTCCACACGGTGCCCTCGGCACATTTTTCCTGAACAGCCCTCGTATAGAGGAACATTTCACCCTGCAGGAGGAAAGCCATACCAGCTGTACATCAAATGATGGTCGGCTGGACAGGTATCTGATGCGGTCTGTACATGAATGATCGGCCGACTGTTCAACAAGATCTTATCAAATGGGCATGATGGTCTTATCGGCTGGACCGGAACATCATCCCCGGTACAGGAAGAACATCTCCGTGGACATTTAAGGTACACGCGCAAGTGTTAGGGCATGTCTCGGCAATCACTCGGCGATCAGACCACGGCGCAGCCGCCGGCTTAGGGCTCAGTCAAGGGTTGAACAACGATGGCGCCGCGTCTCGGCAACTCGGTCATCAGTGCCGCTGTCATCGGAATCCGAATAGCCATCACGGCCTGATGTGGCTATCTCTTCTTGACCAGAACTCCCATCATCGTTCTCCTCGGCTTCCGAGTTCGACATCTCCTGGGTCTGGACACTCGGCGGCGCCTTCCCATCAACATTGGCAACAAATACAATGAGCCGGATGGGCTGCTGTACCCATAACTGGCAGCAGCAACCGACACAGCGTGCACTATTGCCTTCCTCTCGGGGTTTCGAAATTTCCAGCGGCTTCAAGCTTTCTTCAACTCATTGCTGGGGAGCTCCTGCCAGGGTATAAGGTCTCTCAATGTCAATCCAACAAACATACTCCGAGCTTTCACTGCGGCTACTTGCTTGACTCACGAGACGATCGAGTATGCTGTGACCGTTGGAATCGTAGGGTCCATTTTGGCTAGCCGCTCAAGCTTCGTCTCCTCCGGATTGAGGCCTTTCGTGAGCCACTGGACCCGGATGTACCGTGCCACACCATCCCTGAAGATCTGCGCCAGATAGCCTTCAGTGATATCTGGCTGACGGAACTTGCATGTGCGTGATTCGTATCTTTTCCCCGCCGAGGTACTTGTCTTTCTTCGTTCTGTGGCGGACCAGGGCACCTGTAGTTTCATGCTCTTTTCATATCTATCTACCCACTCAGATGTGTCTCCAGCTGCCTACACGACCCGTCCCCGGGATTCTCGCCACGCTGGCCGTACGTTCAATAGGCTATAGCAGGCACTCCCCAGCGGCCAGACCCCAGGTTCTCTCTCTTTGTTCTTGAATCCATGTTTCATTCAACAGGCAGATCATATCGAGTGTTTGGCACAAACACTCAAGAGTCCAGAGCCGATGTTGTCCGAGTTCTGCCTTCCCCATTCCTCTACGCGCTCACATTATATCCAGGTTTGTGAATCACTGCCAATTCATTGGGTAGTCTAACCCCTTTCTCGCGATCTTCGATGCTCACCAGCTTTCCGCGGTAGAGCTCTGGAGTCTGCTGGGTCCGGGGCGAAGGCTTCAACGTGTTTTGAATGAATTATTTCTTCATATAGCTTGATCCGAACGTCACTGTAAGCGGGAGGTTCCCGGGTCCCATTACCGAAAAGGTGAGCCGACGTCTGATTGACAAGCTTGACTGTCCGGCCTTCCATACAATTGTATGAGATTCAGGAGGAACCTTCCACTTCTCCTCTGCTCCATCCAGGTGCGCGGGGCACACCCAGTCCGACTTCCGTTTTTACTTACTTTCCGTCCATCAGCAATCGTGACGAAGTCGTGTGCCATCGAGAAATTTAAACCGGAGGATCGCGCTGAGACTGTCCGAGAAAGAAACAACGCTAGCGCCGTAGATGCACCGGCTAAGCGAACCGTGGTGATTACAGATTGTACCAACTTGAAGCTTCGTGCGGACGTCCAGTTGCAAGGTGCTCGCTTCGGAACTTCATTCACCCCCGGCGCCACAAAAAAGTCAGGAACTCGACGAACGAAGCACTCAATTCTACTCGCATCACAAACTATTACACTTTGAATAACTCGAGGAATATAAACGAAGTACGTAGTCTAAACGAACATCCGTTTTATCGGCGCCACGCAGCGCCTATGCACCCCGTGGAGGACGACCCCTGCATGCCCGTAGGCGAAGAGGCGTATTGTCCGACGGGATCGGCATATACATTATGCGATTCAGTGGGGAGATATAGCAAGCCGCCAACGACGGCCAGCCACACCGCCTACGCCGCGACACGCACAGTAGCCTGATGATGCTGGTGATGATGATGTCGGGGTATAGGGAGGGAGTGTAGGAAGGTGTGTATCCGCCCATGGCCGTGTCCCGTCTTCCTTGAGGCGGGGTTGGAGACGAGGACGGGAGAGCGGTGATACTCGTCAACGTCCATGGGCACGTCCTCCGGATCGGGGAAAGTCGAGTGCGAGATGGGGGTGGGCGGGGAGAGACTGCCGACACTCGAATGTGGGGAGGAGGGCTCGAGGTCGGGGCAGCCGACGGGCGAGGATGGCGAAGATGAAGACGAGGAGGCCCGACGCACGGGGGACTGCGCCTTGACGAGAGGAACGCCCTCGGCCGAAAGCATAATCCCCTCCCGATGGGCAAGTACATCCTCCGCACTCACACCCAAATCCCAATCCAGCACCTCGAGAAACTCCCTCTCAATCCGTCCGATATCACGTTTCCCGAATACCCCCGTGCACAGAGCCCAATGGACGTTGCGGAGGGTACTATCATTCGTGTACTTTGACGCACAGATCAAGGCGCCGAGGAATACACGCTCGAGGGCCCACTCTTCCAGGGCGATCGTGAGGTGATGACGTGCGCGGGTGAGGTAGACGAGGGTGACGAGGACGTCGGTGGCGGAGACCTCTGCGCGGGAGAGCACCGTCGTCACGAAGGTGGTGAATTTTTGGAGGTGGGCGGGTGACCGGGTGAATGATGGGGAGACGCCGGAGCGTTTGAGGGAGTAGGAGACGGTGGAGGAGATTCGGGAGACGAGGTAGGCTGGGTGGGCGTTAGCAAGAGTGCCGAGAAGAGAGAGGCAGATAGATGCGTACCGATAACGGGCTGTGAGACCTCGACGTCGACGAGCTCGAGGAGCTCGGGAGAGTGCGTGGCTGGGTCTACGAGAGAGGCAGCATGCACAGGGCTGTTAGTCTTGCTGCTGCTGGGACTCCAGGAGCTGTAGGAGGTGGATGTGCTCGAGGAGGCAGAGGACGAGTCAGACGCCGGAGAGTACATCGCTGGGACTGCGGGAGGCGAGTCGGTGGGTGACTGGGACGGCCATGAGCGCTTTGTTTTATAAACGTGTCCGGTAGACGGAATGTTTCTGAGTCACGGCGCGGAGAGAAAGGATTATGAAGCGGTACGTGTGTAAGCCCGTTTTCGGAATTCCCGAAGCCAAGATCTGTCATCGCTCTTCTTCTCGTTGGTCAGCGCTCTCCGTCCGAAGCCATGCCACAGCATCCTCCGGTCCCATTTCCTCGCCTTATTCCTAGGTAGCAGGGTAGCTTTTTTGCAGGAAAACACCCCGGAAGATGTCGGGCGGGTTCAGGCGGCTACGCGGCATCTCCCATCTCGGACAAATGTCAGCAACATCGACAAAACGGCGTGTCGGGGACACGATATCAATCCGTCGGCGGCGGCTTCTTCCTTCGGACCTCCCTCAGTGCTTTGCAATTTGAATTATCCCGTGTCATGCATGTCATAGCTCATCTCGTTTCCGGCTCCGACTTGCGTGGACGTCCGCCGAATATGTACGCAATTGCAATTGCAATACTTCAAGTTCTGGAAGATTCGACCGAATCCGAATCACTCCGTGGTCCTCTTCTTGGACGTCGATTTCGAGTCACCTTCGAAGATTTGCCCTACATACACTGCTCTGCAACTCCTCTTTTGCGCGAACGCGCCCATCGCCGACAGATTCTGGATTGGATATTCGATCTTCCGTGTACTTACACTGTCCGATATCCACTCACTCGATCGACGCGATTCTATGTATGTGCTCGACCAGATTCTCATCTTCCCTGCACCGGATCTGCAAGTGGACTGTGGGCGATAGACCTCCTCCTTCTGCCCTCGTTCTACTAGCCCTCATCCTCCTTCATAAGTTATTCACGAGGAAACTCCGTATAGTACCGAATGAATCGGTACACCCCCAAGGCTCCGGCTCTTTCAGTCTCTTCCACACAACCTTTTTAAACTGAACTTGACCGCTAGCGCTACGCCGCCTCTTGATCCCTTGAAGCTCAGCTTCGACAGATTCTGGATTGGAGGATATACACTTGGCACTCAAATTTCACGACTTCTCCGATATCCACTCGATCGACCCATTCTGATCTTCCCTGCGGCCCGGACCGGATCTGCAAGTGGGCGATAGTCCGAGTTACTCCCTCCCCCTTTTCGAGTTCCCGACACCATCCTCTTTCCATCGCAAGTCTGCATCCACATGCTTGCCCACCCAACTACTTATTCCTGTTTCTTGACGGCTGCCTCCTCAACTTCAACCCGCTTTTCCGAGAAGAGATGCTACTCCAGACTCCAGTCGCCTTATGATCTTTCGTTTGCGTTTCTTTCACCCAGTCATGAAACATTAGTTGCCTTATATGGATAAATCCAAGATGTCGCCTTCCCTGGTCGCCCGCTTGGATTAGGGGTAAAGCGTATCACTCGTATAGAATGAGATCCGGGTACATATGAGATGATAAGATCAGTCGTTCGAATCGGCTAGTGGGCATACGCATGGAGAGCTTCCATGCTTTTTGGCCTCGCCCCCCCTGCAGTGTGAGGCTACGGAGTTCTTGATGTAGAAGTCGTAGACACGGAGATTCCAAATGTCGAAGATTTGTTGTAGACACGGGATTGAGTCGATAAAATCTATAGCGTTCAGAATGCTAATCTACTGACTACGAAACGGGGCTATTTATACTGTACACGGTGGTCCGTGCGCCACCCAATGACCGCTGCGCCGCAGGTTGAACCAGTGTTCAACTGTGCCCGCAGTTAGCGCACAGCGGGAATGCTGTACAGAGCTGTGCTGTTCGCCGTGATCACCGTGATCGCCGAATGTGATCCTTACATGCAGTCTATTATCTCCGACTGGCTAGTGGGCCACACTAGCTAGTGGGCCACTTGAGACCTAGTGCAGCGTTGAGAGGCAATATCTACCAAATGTTATCAGCATAGCGTAGGGCATATACATACGTCCCCGCACACCGAGTTTGGTGGGGATTGGTGACGTTGACGTGAGGCTGTAGCTGTCAGAGTTCGGGGCGGAGGACCGAAACACGTGGTTTCTTATTTTGGCCCTGGCATCGCTGGCAGTCGACGGCCTGTATCTCCACCACCAGGTCACATCTTTGCGAGCTCCAGGGCTCACTCGGCTCGGAAGACCTCTGGCTACGCACGAACTCGGCCTTGGCCACATCCATCTCCTCTGCGGTTCGCTACGGACGTGCAAATCCCACGCAACGAGTCGAAATTTCGGCTTCGAGGCGCCGAATTAGGCTCGGTGTATCAGACTGAATACTAGGGCTACCAGCGTGAAACTTGGCACGGATGGTAAGCATGGTTGAGGCACCCCGTAGAGGCCACTGACGTGATTTTACCGATTTTTTTCCGTTGTCGTTGAGGCCTTTGACCGCCGACGCTCGCTTTACACGTGTCCGACATTTGGAACTTTTTTGGAGGGAAGGAAAGCGCTGGAGGCGCGAATGGGGCCTAAGATACGTTCATATGGTTTTGCCCTCATGCCACACCTAGCTCTCTCACTGTGCACCCCATTCCGACCCGCTCGCAATCCGACATCATCCGGCAAATTTCACCACCCCTCCGACTTTCATCCCCCCCATCTGCTGATCTGGGCTTGTCCATTCCCTCTTCGAATTCATCCTCCTGGTGTCTCCTTGATGTGCCGTGGCGCTGTGGCCGCGCGGAGGCGGGTTTATAACTCGTGCGCATCCTGTCCCTCTGCATTTTCTCATGTGGTCTATCCCTCCTCTCAATACATCCACCGCGGCGCCACACAGCCCTCTGCACCCTGTGATCAAGAAACAACGCCCCAGGACCCCCGAACGTGTCCTGACGAATGAGGAGATCCAGGCGGCGCTTCTCCTCCAGCATCACAAGCTGTTGGCCGTCCCTCTCCACCAGATTGACGAGGGCTTGAAGGGGATTGAAGAGTAGCTATAGATGATCCGGAGGGTCTCGTGTACATTGAACAAGTTCTATCCATTCTCCGATGCATGGCGGTGGACGAGAGCGCTGGGACTGCCTCGCTGGCAGGAGATTCCCACGCCCGGCCCACTAGGCCGATTTCTCCGTTTTGACACCTGTCATGCCAAAATATTCGTACAGACATCAAATCGCAACCAAATCCGTCGTCGCTAGGCATTATCTGTTCGTACGAATCTAGACTACATCTCAATGTCCTGAGCACCCAGGGAAACCTTATAATCCCTTCGTGGGGTATGCAAAACCCTTAAGGTGGCCCAGATCTACCTCGGAGATAATAAGTATCTACGCAGCTCTCAGGTTTCTGGCGACTCCAATTGGAACTATCCCGCGCTTCAACGTTCTGAAAATCGTGAAGGGAGTCAAGACTCAACAATTACTGTTACTAAAAGACTAAACGGCTGTGTCGGCAACGCATGATCTGCGCTTTGAACCTCCCAAAATGCCTTGTCAATCGTTGAGATCTCAAGACACCGAGCCACAGCAATCTACGCAACCCATCTGTATCTCTTATATGCTACGCCTGTGTTGCGATGAGGAATCAGTCGTTCGAATCGACTAGTGGGCATCACATGGAGTTCGATTCTTTTTGGCCTCGCCCCCCTGGAGTCTCTACCAACGCAGCTTTAACGTTTCTGGCAACTCTGAACAGCTCTCAAGCCTCAAGCTCAAGTCTCAACACGGCACCGAGTCCCTGATTGAAATAACCACGAGGTACTTACCCCTGTTAACTTTATCTATGCAGTATGCGCATGCACGAGTATCAGTCGTTCGAGTCGGTTAGTGGGCATCCCCATGAAGCCGTGGCCTTTTATTTTTGCCTGGCCCCCTGCAGTCCATCTACGCTGCTCTGATTTCTGGCAACTCAAACAGGCCTCGCTCCAGCCCTCTGAATGCTCCTGCTCAACACACCCACCGAGTCAACAACGACTATCGAATACTAAACGAGTGGGTAAGTCAGTGTACTCACACAGGGGGCATCTACCGTGGCACTTTTTTTTGTGTGCCAAGGTGGCACTTGGCGCGTAGTTGGCATGTGGAGGTAAAACCACGTGCCTTTGGTGCTCCCTTGATGTGCGTGAGTTCGAATCTGCACTTATGCATCCTTTTTCTCTGCTCGACACATTTGGTGATTATGAGCCTCAAACACCCGGTTTACAATTCAAATAAAATGTACAGAGTACTGCCTGACCCATTGAGTGAGTTCACAATGTGATTCGGAGGATGTTGGGCGGTGTCATTGGGTATTTCCGCACCTGGGTCACTCCATTTCCGTGGAACAGGCAGGGCCACAGCACGAAGGGCATTAACAGTAATTTTGCAGATACTCAAGGCCCGGTATGTGGAAACCCACTCCCTCAAGAAATAATATCTTCCAAGACATCACAAAGTGCCCGGCCAATTGTGAAAGCCGGGGAATAAATCAAATTCCCACAAAATGTCCAACCTCCGGCCAACCACGCACCAAGTGCCACGCAAGTGCTACCTTGGCACACGAGGCCAAGTGCCACGCTTGATGCCCCCTGTGTCACATACCGGGCAACGCAGACCATGATCAACCTGCGCTGCCAACCCCCCTTGTCAACCCCCGAACCACAGCAATCTACATGACCGATCTCGTATCTCGCACATAGGCCTGTGGATGAGAGATCAGTCGTTCGAATCGGCTAGTGGGCATGTGTAGTCTGAGCTCTTTTTACCATGAAGCTACCAGTACGCTCCGCTCCACCACGGGAGTCATTCATCTGCCTCATGCTCCAACAATTGTGCGGCACCAACGGGACTGTAGCAATTAAGCGAGTTTCTGTGATTCCAGAACCAAATACAGCAATCATAAGAGTACGAGGTACATAATAGCCACAAGATCATGCGCTGACAACACTGTCGAGAAAGGCGCACTACGATTCATCCCAATCATCGCGTCTCCGAGGCTCGACTTGCTCTCCATAATAATTGCACGGTGCCTCGTTCGAATCGAGCCAGAGGCGTATTTTGTAGGTTCTGTGTGTTCTTTTTGTCCGATTTTGTTATCAGTTTTTCGCCCGGGGATTCTTGACCTCCATCGCAAGAGAGAGAGAGATAGGGGGGAGAGTGTATCCTAAAGGCCGGGCTACAACCTTCGATGCCTAAAGGTTTTGTTGCAAACACTCAAGCGGATTTCAAGTCAGTCAATGAATGGCGAGGTCCTACAATTGGTGGACATTGAAATGTAACCTGTCGAACATTCATTGGACGGCGCCTTGTTCGATTCGAGGCAGCGTTATGACCGTGTCACATGCCTTTTTCGTCTCTCAACAGCTCGAATCAAATTTACTTCATCATCGTCATGAATGCAAAGTCATGAAATTTGCTGGCATCAAAGCCCCACAGCAGAAATTAAACGCTCGAAATCCGGCGTCCCCAAACCAGTCACAGGGTCCCAACCCTTTGAAGCAGAGAAGCCGCTGATAAAAGAAGCATCTCGTCAGATAAGGAAATCACCGAAAACGAAAGAAAAGAACGCACGCTGTGTTACATCCCGGATTATTGCCCTCTGTAACATCTGTAAACGCAGCCCTCCCCGCCGCACTATACAAAAACGGATTGAGGAAGCCGAGGACGGGCTTTCCCGCTGCAATGAGTCGGTCGTTGACGAGCGCTATGATGCTAGCGAAGATGGGGGTCGCACAGCTCGTGCCAGTGACAGTCTCGAACTGGAACAAAAGTTAGTACAACCTTTAAATTTTCATGGCATAGAGTGAGCTCACGTTGCCTCCTACATTCGTTCGATCAGTACCGGTACCAAAAAAATAAACCAAACTCACGCCAATGAATCTGCACATTCGTAGCATGCGCCGCAACATCCGGGAACCCCCTCCCACTCGCATTATACATCCCCGCATATGTCCCGCCCATAGAAGCCACATACGCTTTGACGTCCTGAGCTTGATAGTCAGGGGTAGGGAAGTAATTCGAGAACCCGCCGCTCGAGCCGTTGTACGCCACAACCTGTGCGGAGGGAAGCCCTGTTGTTCCGCCGATGGAGGTGACGAAGGGGCAGGTACTGGGCAGGGTGGGGTTAAATTGGTTTTGTGGGCAAGTCGTCGTGGATTGCATGCCGCTGACGCCGCCGTCACCGGATGCAAAGAGGGAGGAAATGCCCACTGCCGCGAGTTGCGTGTAGGCATCACAGATCGCGCTACAATATTGTCAGTCAACGCCCAACCCAGATGCACTACGACGCACACAGCAAGATTTATCGGCATATTGCTCTCCGAGAATCCATAGCTCGTCGAGAACACGGTGGGTCTCTTGTCCGCAGCCAGAATGAAATTCACGACATCAATGAAGCCCTCGACGTCGTCGTTCGTCGAGATTCCGACGGAGTAAAATTTGACTGGCACACCCGCAGCGAGGCTGAGGCTGTATTGAACATCCAAATTCGCTTCATCGCCGGCGTCAAAGATGGATTGGAGGTTCTGCCCGCCGTCGACGAGTTGGAGGTTGAATGTCGAGTTGATGAGG